ATATACCCTTTTTATCCAGTCAGCAGTCGTTTTTTACAAATATACTATAGTATACTATAGTATACTATAGATAAGATTGCGAGACTTACTAAAAAGTATAAAAAAGTTTTACTGTCATTCGCCGAGCCTTAAATGCAACATTTTTATTCTAACGAATATGTACTTGGATTAAGAAATTCGTCGAGACAAATTGTCCATTTTCTGTGGACAATCTGAGCGTCAATTAAAGAGACATTTACCGTACAATCATTTCTCTCGGAAACGCCGTATTTCGGGTTGCTGCGAATTTCCCTGTGCCGCTCCTGCGCCTGTTTTCTCTGCCGCGATTTTTCTTACCCGACTCACACGCTCGCATGCGACATTTTATGTTGCCTCAGCACCGACGTACCAATAAATTACAACGGTAGTTGGCAAACGCGGATCGATGTAATATCAATTTGAAGCTTCGAACACGATTCGCCGATTTTATCGAAATTTCTGGCATTTCTGGGAGAAATTGTTTGTACGTATAAAACGTAAAGCCGCGTATGAAACGTGTATGTACATGTACATACGTACACCGACGAGACGGATTGGATTTACACGGGCGAGAAAACAAGTAAATACCGTTCGGAGGACACCTCCTCGCCGCGAACGATCCGCGGCGGGAAAGTGAAACCGAATTCTTGCGGAGCTCTGCGCGGAGGAAAGTTGTACATCCGCGGCTACTTTAAACAATCTCGAGTCAGTGCTTGAACTAACGCGCCGAACTTCCGTCCCGCGTCAGAGATTGTTCTTTCCCCTCGTAATTGTTCTTTCCGAAATAATGGGATACCGAAAGCGAGCCATTGTAATTTCAGGCGGTCCCGCTTGCTTGGCCTATTTCGCGAACTGTTAATTAACGGGAACCATTGTCGAGCGGCCGTCTAGCTATGAAACGACAAGGGGACGTACTCTGTACAAATATGTACCTTTCTCTTTCCGGAGCCAGGTCCGCAACCAACGAATTGACTTCGCACGTATATTTCTCTTTCCGCTCTGCCGTCGTGTTCCGGCGAGAACTGACAGCGAAACAATAGTTTGTATAGGTTTACCGGGCGAAACTTGGGCCGCCCGGACCTTCCCCCCGCCTCGTCGAAGAGAATCGGAGAAATCCTGAATATTAACGCGACGTAAGAAGCCGGCCAACGATCCCGAACTTCCTCGGAACGCCTTCGTTTCTCACCCCGATCGCCCGTAATTCTTCCGAATCGTCCACGAATTTGCGCGACGAAGACTGTTTAAACAATTTTGTTCCGACTCGGTTTTATTGTCTGCGGTTCGATTTTGATGCCGAAACCCGCTTCTGTTGCGCTTTTCTGTTTAAACCGTTGGAAAGTTAACAATTAATTGTACAATGTTAAATTATCGACGGCGGTTCGATCTATTATCGAGCTTTTCGTTGCAATGCCTCGGAATTTGTTTAATTGCTTTTATAACGCTGGGTTTTTGCGGGTTTTGAAATTTCTTAAATTACGATCGCGAGGAATTTAATCGACGAATTTTTATTGCAATAAAAATCGCTGAAAGCCTAACGTTAACCCTTACAGGGTTGTGTCGAGGTTATGTCAAGACTATGTCAACCCTTAAAGTCAACCCTTACAGCATCGGGTTGCTAAGAGTAAATATTACTGTGTAACTGTTTATTTCAGTTTGTTCAGACGTAAAATAAATGAGAATCCTAAGAAGAATACAATGTGTAGTCTTTTACTGGAATTTTATGGAATTCATATTTTATAAATAATTATTCATATTATTTCTCCCAATGGACTATGAAGGTAACAGGAATTATAATTGGGCTTATTACTGTGCAGAATCTTTTATTTATTGGTTTATTATAACAAAATGTTAACTGAAATAATACAAAATTATGAAATAAAATTATTATACAGAACGACGTGCTAATTACGATATTCCGCGAAGCAATTTCATTCGGTCGCGAAGCAAAGATGAACATTGCACAGAGTAAAACATAACAAAATAGTAAAAAAATAGTGAAAAAGTTTAAATAGTAAAAAATAACAAAAATAATTAACAATTAAATACAATCACCAATTTCAATACGGGGAAAAATATTTCCCTCGGTTGTGAAGGGATTAAATTAAAATTTATATATATAGTTATATATAATTTAGATATAGTATAGTAGATATTAGATATAGTATATAATTTAGATATAGATAGTTATATATAATTAATTTTTTGTATAATTTATATATTATATAGTTATATCATAAGTTAGATTTATACAGCTTGTGTATACTTATTTATTAATTTTATTATTACAATAACATATAATACAATAAGACGATACGTTTTAGACAAGCAAACGTACATTCCGCGCGCACCGGTTTCCGGTTGGTGCCGCATTCAACGTATAATTTGCAACGGTGATACCGCAAATTGTTGACGCTCTTTTGATGAATTGAATTCCAGCGTTATCGTCGATCAATCAGTTATCGCGGTGAATCGCAAGGAGTACGCGGGAACGGTTCCGTGACAGTGATGGAAAAGTATCGATGTCGATGAAAAAAAAAAGAAAAAAAAAAGAAAAAAAGGACGAAACACGCGGCCGGAATACGCGAGGGGGACGAATACACGCGTTCATTTGTTTTC